TAGGTGGAGGAAGGTAGGTTTCTTCAGTTTGGGACTAAGTCAAAAGGACTGTACTATTGCAATTAATTAATTAATTAAATTTCTTTTTCTTTCTTTCTTTTTGATATAATAGTGCCTCAAGCCTGATCCCATAGCCATTAACATCCTGTCAGTTGAATAACAGTTGGCCCACTATCGTCTCTCACCCACTTGGCTTTTGCCATTCAGTAAGAACAGTAAATCTTTCCCTCTTTCAATCCCTCTTTTAATTTCAAAAAGGGGAATTACACAAAAATGAGGAGGTTAGTTAAACAGAAATTAAAAGGCACAGTGACGAGAGTCAAATCCCTGCAAGCTGCATGGAAACTTTTTAAAGACACCATAATAGAGGCCCAACTTAAATGTATACCCCAAATTAAAAAACATAGTAAGAGACCTAAAAAAGAGTCACTGTGGCTTAACCACCATGTAAAAGAAGCAGTGAGGGACAAAAAGGCATCTTTCAAGAAATGGAAGTCCAATCCCAGTGAGATAAATGGAAAGGAACATAAACACTGTCAAATTAAGTGTAAAAATGTAATAAGAAAGGCAAAAAAAGATTGAGGAACAGCTAGCCAAAAATTCAAAAAGCAATAGCAAAATGTTTTAAGTACATTAGCAGCAGGAAGCCTACTAAAAAAACAGTGGGTCCCCTAGACAATCGAGATACAAAAGGAGCAATCAAGGATGACAAAGCTATTGCAGAGAAGCTAAATGATTTCTTTGCATCAGTCTTCACTGCTGAGGATATTGGGGAGATTCCCAAACCTGCACCATCCTTTGTGGGAGATGAATCTGAGGAACTGTCCTGGACTGAAGTGTCATTAGAGGAGGTTTTGGAACAAATAGAGAAACTTAACGTTAACAAATCACCGGGACTGGATGGCATTCACCCAAAGGTTCTAAAAGAATTCAAATGGGAAATTGCAGAACTGTTAATTGTCGTTTGTAATCTATCCTTTAAATCAGCTTCCGTACCTACTAACCAGAAGATAGCTAATGTGACACCAATATTTAAAAAGGGCTTTAGAGGTGATCCTGGCAATTACAGACCGGTAAGTCTAAAGTCGGTATCGGGCAAATTATTCAAAACAATAGTTAAGAATAAAATTGTTAGGCATGTAGAAGAATATAATTTGTTGGGCAAAAGTCAACATGGTTCCTGTAAAGGGAAATCGTGTCTTACTAACCTATTAGAGTTCTTTGAAGGGGTTAACAAACATGCAGACAAGGGGGATCCAGTAGATACAGTATTCTTAGATTTTCAGAGAGCCTTTATCAAAGTCCCTCACCAAAGGCTCTTGTGTAAGTTACATTGTCATGGGATAAGAGGGAAGGTCCTTTCACGGACTGCTTTCATCTTTTTATGAGATGGCTAATGAGGTTGTTTCTGGGCTTTATATAAATATAAGATGAGATAACAAAATAAAATGTACAGACCTTTTTATTTGCCACGTTCAAAAAGAAACAACAACAACAACTCCAATATATTAATTCCTACGGAGATATTCCTTTATATGTCATATGATGGCCTTACTGCCTTAAGGGTATGTGATACATAAAGAATACAAAGTAGTATTGAGAGCAATGGGTCAGACCTCAAATATATGGTAAATCTTTCTAAATCCAACTTTGATTATCTAAGAATTTCAACGGCTCTTTGTAAATACAAAACAATCTTTTCAGCAACACCTTTGTCACCTGACCCTATGCTGATTTTCTCTGAAAACGTCCACACAGTGTGTTGTGGCAGTCAAAAAGGCAAATAGAAGGTTAGGAATTATTAAGAAAGGGATAGAAAATAAGACACAAAATATCTTACTGCCCCTATATAAATCTATGGTACGCCCACATCTTGAGTACTGTGTACAGATGTGGTCTCCTCACCTCGAAGAAGATATTTTGGCCTTGGAAAGGATTCAGAAAAGGGCAACTAAAATGATTAGAGGTTTGGAACGGGTCCCATATGAAGAGAAGCTAAAGTTTCAGTTTAGAAAAGAGGAGACTGAGGGGGGATATGATAGAGGTATATCAAATCATGAGTAGTGTGAAGAGGGTGAATAAAGAAAAGTTATTCATTAGTTCTGTCCCAGAGGCCCCAGTTGGCTCCGTGTATTTCCCTCGGTAGGGCTCCAATGCCGCGGGTTGCACGGCCACCACTCCCGCTGGCGGGGTGGGGGTCCGGGCCCTCCCTCACTCCCGGACCCCGGCCCAGGGCCCTAACACCAGAAGCTCGGCTCCTGATGAAAGCAGGTGGGGGCTTGCCCCTAAACGCGCCTGCTCACAGGCTCCGCGACCCTCCCTGGGCCTGCACAATCCCGCCCGTTTCCCCCTCCCTCTGTTCCGGGGACTCCCTCACCTCCCTGCTTTATGCTGCCTCTTTCTTCTTCCCGGTACCTCCGCCCCTTCCTACGAACTCTTCCTCCCCCCTGAGACCTCTGTCGGCCATGCCTTTATCCCCAGCCTGGCCCCTTTCTTCCTCCCCTTTGGGGGGCCCCGCCCCAGCCTGCCCCGGTTGCGCTGGTGACGTCAGCTGATGTCACCGGCACACGGTGATGACCCCTCCCGTCTACTTTAGTAAGGCATTTGATACGGTCTCGCATGATATTCTTATTGATAAACTAGGCAAATATAACTTAGATAGGGCCACGATAAGGTGGGTGCATAATTGGCTGGATAACCGTAGTCAGAGAGTTGTTGTTAACGGTTCTAAATCCTGCTGGAAAGGGATAACAAGTGGAGTTCCTCAAGGGTCTGTTTTGGGACCCGTACTGTTCAATATCTTCATCAATGATGTAGATATTGGGATAGAGAGTACTCTTATTAAGTTTGCAGATGATACCAAACTGGGTGGGGTTGCAACTTCTTTGGAGGATAGGGACATAATTCAAAATGACCTTAGCAAGTTAGAGAAATGGTCAGAGGTAAACAGGATGAGGTTTAATAAGGAGAAATGCAGAGTGCTCCACTTAGGAAGGAACAATCAGTTCCATACATACAAGATGGGAAGCGACTGTCTAGGAAGGAGCATGGCGGAAAGGGATCTAGGGGTCATAGTGGACCACAAGTTGAATATGAGTCAACAGTGTGATGCTGTTGCAAAAAAAGCAAATATGATTTTAGGTTGTATCAACAGGTGTGTTGTAAGCAAAACTCGTGAAGTCATTCTGCCGCTCTATTCTGCACTAGTTAGGCCTCAGCTGGAGTACTGTGTCCAGTTCTGGGCGCCACATTTCAAGAAAGATGTGGAGAAATTGGAAAGGGTACAGAGAAGAGTGACAAGAATGATTAAAGGTCTAGAGAAGCCTATGAAGCCAGGCTTCATGAACTGGGCTTGTTTAGTTTGGAAAAAAGAAGATTAAGGGGGGACATGATAGTGGTTTTCAAATATCTAAAAGGGTGTCACAAGGAGGAAGGTGAAAATTTGTTCCTCTTGGTTTCTGAGGACAGGACATGGAGTAATGGGCTTAAAGTGCAGCAGGGGAGGTTTAGATTGGACATTAGGAAAAAATTCCTAACTGTCAGGGTGGTCAAATATTGGAATAAATTGCCAAGGGAGGTGGTGGAATCTCCCTCTCTGGAGATATTTAAGAACAGGTTAGATAGACATCTGTCAGGGATGGTGTAGACGGAGCTTGGTCCTGCCTTGAGGACGGGGGGCTGGACTCGATGACCTCTCGAGGTCCCTTCCAGTCCTATGATTCTATGATTGTGTTCGGTCCACCCCCTCTAGGGCACTTGGTGCTGGCCACTGTCGGCAGACAGGATACTGGACTAGATGGACCTTTGGTCTGACCCTGTACTGCCATTCTTATGTTCTTACGTAATTATCAGCTACCTCCCAGAACTGATCTTTTCCTGCACAACTCATCTTCTCCTGCAATGGGACTAATCCCTGCTGCTAATGAAAATCACATTTCTCTAGTCTGCTACCAGAGTTCTCTAATGAGAGCCTACTCTCTGCAGTATTTCACCG